GAAGGTCAATCGAATCAAAATTTTCCATATTTGCCACCCGCTGAATCCTTCCATCTCTTCCTAATCCTCGCCCTTTCGTGCGCTTATCTATAAATAAACGCAAGGAACGATCCACACACACGGATTATTTGCAATTCATTTTCCAGCGGTGTCACACGTTCTTGGCGAACGCCCTGTTTGAAGAACGTGACATCGATCGCAAGCCAATTTAAACATGTACACACCGATTATCGACGTTTATGTGCGCTGATCGAGGCTCTCGCGTCGCGGGCACGTTCACAATCTCATTGTAAATCAGAGTGATAAAGGACACCGATCGGTGCACCGATCGATTTCCCTCGAAGTCTACGTGCTTTTAAAGCGTTGCATCATATTTGCCGGATTTTAACACTATTTGTACCGATATTTTCAGTTATCATGATTATAGAAAATTGAGGAAGCGATGAAAACACAGAAAACATGGATCCCAGGAAATAACGTTTATTAAAAATGATTTAAAAGATATCCTTTAACCTCCTTGGTAAAAACAGCGTTAAATAAAAATGATTAAAAGATGTCTTTTGACATCTTCGGTGTTTTTTTTTTCATGTCATCCCAAAGTTTAATCTTTTACTGAGTTTCTTGTGGGTTTAATATTTCATCTTTTACATTTGAAAGCATTTCTGGGAGTTTTCTGAACGGTCTGTTAATAACTTTTGAGTACTTCTTTGGGGGATTGATTGTTTTCCATTATAGTATCTTCCAGATGCTTGTTTGAGTGAATTCATTAACGTGGAAGTATTTTGTAGGTTAATTTATTGTGGGAACCAGACTCCAAGTCGAATTCAACTACTCGGTGTTTTTACATTGTGTTGCAATTATTTCTTTTGAGGGGGGATAATATTGTGTAGAAAATACGATATATTATTATTATTATTATTATTGGTATAATTTTGGGTGATCATTTATGGTGATAATTTATCGAATTTTATTCTACATTACAATATACGAATGTCCGAAGAATGCTGAGCATGCAGGGAATCCAAAGCTAAATTTTAATTTATTTTACTTTAAACACTGCGCTTTAAGATACATCCATTTCCATCTTAAAGGAACTACATAATCGGTTCGAAACTTTTACAAATTAATTAACTGCTACCTCGGAGAAAATTTCGTACAGCGCCGTTTCACACAGTGGCAAAACGCTCAAACCGTTAGCCAAGCGTTTACCAACCACCGGTTACAGGTCGATAACCTTAAAATTCTTGTAAATCCAATAATGTTAAAGATCAGTTTGTTTTCTTGATTTTCCAAAATGATCTCGCGATTATATTTCAATCCAATCTTATATTCCATCTGAACGTTTTTCGTTTGGAGTCTTGTTATTTTTTCCCTGACGTCATCGTTCGAGTGTTCTTGACTTTTAAAAATGATCCCGCGATTATATTTCAGTCTAATCAACCCTGTCTTATGGGGCTAGGCTCCGCAGCGACGAGATAAAAATAGAGTTACCGGCGAAATGATGGATTTACGCTCCCCAAGGGAATATACAGATCCACTCTGGGCTTTCAAGATATACATGTAGGCCCATAATTTCATCGGCCACACTGAGTACAGAGAGACTTAACTAACAAGGACGAAGAATCAGACAATTTAAGAGAGCAATAATCATAAGCCATCAGGCTGGCCATAGGTTACGGAAGGACAATGCTGAATCAGGCATATCATGGGGCTTGAAATGCAGAGCGGAATATTTGGCTACAAGATATTGGATGAAGATGACAGAAAGGAATAAATAATACTTGTACTATAAAATAATTAAATATATTTAATATAATATTATGCAGTAGTATAGCAATATATGTGATTATATGTATGTATATGCGATTATTTATTATTAAATCAGCTTTGCAAATCATTCGTTAATCTTCACTGTACACCTTGCATAAAAATTTCATATGGTAGACACGAGGTGTCATGCACACCAGAAAATTAAAACGGCTGTCACGGTTAAACTACATATTATTTCGGGTCCGAAAAATTAGTAAATATTCTTCAGACGTTCTAAAGTAAAGGTGAACAGCGTTTTTCTTAAAAATATCACTGTTACGTAGTAAAAAAAATCCGGAAAGTTCTCCCTTCGTGACTTGTTCAATACTTCGAACGCGGCTCGAGTCCGTCCCGACCTTCTGTCAAAGCCTCGTGCTGCGGACTCTCTCGCGGAC